TTTCGGATCAAACCACTCTTAATGATAAGAAGAGTCACTGCATACAAGAATTGATAGAACCGATTCAGCCATCAAATCTTTAAGCTATCCAACTGAGGTGAAGCCAGTCTTGGGTTGGCGAAACCCTAATCTATGAGCAACCTCTCTCAAGCGCAGCCCACCCTATCTCTGAATGACAAATCCTGTATCTCTATCAGAATTTTACTCACCAAAGATGCCTTAAGAACAAGAATTTGCAGGTCATCAATTCAAGTATGAATGATTGCCAACCGAAGCATGCAATTTATCTCTAAAATGCATTCAATCCTTTTCTTGATTAGATGATCTAATTACCTAACTCTTTCTCAAACAATTAAAGTAATCACAGATGCAAGAACAATTCGGCCAAGATTGTTTTATAAATTAAAACCCCAATNAATTAAAGTAATCACAGATGCAAGAACAATTCGGCCAAGATTGTTTTATAAATTAAAACCCCAATCAAGAATCCCAAGAACAAGTCATACTCAATTGGATCTGCCTAAGTTTAATTACAAATCAGAATTAAAACTCATCATGGTTCGCATAAAGAAAGAAAGAAGAAAGATTCAATAGAGAAACCTCAAAAAACCCTAATTGAATCTAGGTTACCAAACTTCAAAACCAAAGAGGAAAACAACTTATGAATCTTTGCATCAATCTTCGATCTCCTTGCTATGATCTTTCTCCAATTTGCATTCAGCAGCCTTCTCCTCTCCCTAGCAGCTTCTTCTTCAATTTTCTTTCAGGGGTTCGAACCCTTATCTCCTCTTTTTCTCCTCTTTTTATATCCTTCTCTTCAGATAAAACCCTGTTCTCATGTAAGTGGGAGAGTGGTGAATTCCCGGATGAAAACTTGCAGGCTAAGGAATTGCTCCAGCACGTCAGCAGTCAGGTTGTAGATAATTAGGGCCCGATTTTTACCTCGATGAAGTCCGTACCTATCAAAACTCAAAACATGAAAGTTGTAGAAATTTTCTTTATCTTTCCAACACATCTTGAAACATTTCAATCAGAGTCCAAATGGGAGAGTTATGCCCAAATTACCACGTGGCGCCGAAATGTCCAAATTACCCGATTAGCCTTCTTTTCCACTTAACACCTCATTTCGTGTCATAAATCGAAATATAAGAATAATGAGTCCATTTAGGCACTAAATAAGTATAAAAAACTACATATTAAGGGATAAAAATATGATAATTTTCATTCTCATCAAATCCCCCCACACTTGAACTGTTACTTGTCCCCAAGTAACAAAGACACAAGTCAAGCAAAATCTTTGCAAAAATCAAATTAAATACAACTATGTTCGGTTCACTATGTTAATCACAAGAGTCTCACTAATGCACTGCTCATATTTTATTTAAGAGCACACAAGTCAACTAAATCCAGGATGAATCACCAATTCGCAATGTAAATTCAAAAAAATTCAAGAGACATCAATATAAGTACATGAACACTTTATAAACACTTCATAATAAGCAACTCAACTAGATTGTCAACAAAAGAAATTACAAATGCAAATTCAAATGCCATGGATTTAACCACTAAATAGCATAGAGTCACCAACCAACACATGAGATCTTGAAGGTCATCCTTTTTCTCTTCTTTTTTTTTTCCGCAAGAACCCCCACACTTAAGCTTTTCAACACACCACTTGTGGGGCATTTTATTCTTTCCTAAGTTATTAATATGTATTTTGACGCAAATACAAACATGGGTGATGAATGCACCTGGTTACTCAACATATAATATACTTAGAATGCTTTGCATACTCTTAATATCAGTTGTCGTTTTACGCAAAAATCAACATTTGTGATGAAGATTCCCGGTTACTAAGCAGCCAAAAACATTGGAGTAGACACATTTTAATTTAATTGACCTTAACTCATGTCTCTGAAGTAAATAATTTGACTTCCATTACAGTTACAATCAATTGCATCCAAAGGCGTAAATGTAACTTCATTCATTAGCTACCTTGCTAAACTACCCATTAATCCGCATCCCAAAAGTATCATACACACCAAATTGACTTCCTAAATTTATGCCCTGTACATTACAACTTAGTAAATTCACCCTAAACTCTTTTAACTTGATACATCCTAAAAATAGCATGAGTACCATTCTTTCATTGACTCTAAAAAAGATTAACACTATTAGTACCGAGCATAGTTCACACAATTTCTACAAAAATTTTGCTTTGCCTAGAACAGAGAAATTCAAAAGAAAAGACTACTGCAATTAATAAAGAAAAACTGTTGCTATTAATAAAACATCACACCTAATCCCCCCACCACACTTATGCATGGACATTGCCCTCAATGTTCATAGAGATAGAATGTGAAGATGAATTCAGTAATGAGGGCAGTGAGACTTCAAGTAATTGAAGGGGTTTATAGAGCTTCCCTGAAGAGCATTCTGAAATCTGGAACGACTCCTTCCGTTTGGACCCTCTAGCTGCTAAGAACCAAAAGAAACTTGGAGTAGAGAATGATAAACACTCAGAGAGATCAGCAATCTACAAAATTAACATCCTAGAAAAGAAACTCGAATGATATGAAAAAGAAAAGCAGAAAACAAATAAAAATAAGAACTACTTATCAGCATTGGGTTGCCTCCCAATAAGCGCTTGTTTTCCGTCTAAAGCTCGACGTTGTAGTGGAATCAATGAACATCTAGGTACACAGTTGGTGGGGGAGGCAATGCTTCATCCGCTACATATGGTTTGAGGTGCAGACCGTTGACATCTTCTTCAAAATCTTGTTCTACCTCACTAACTTGACATACTTCTTTCACACATGAATCGATCACATCAATTCTCATACAAAGTTCTTCCTCCATAGGATGCTTCATAGCCTTGGACATGTTAAACTCCACTTTGTCTTCCCCAATTTGAAGGCTCAGCTTTCCTTCATACACATCAACCAAGGCTTTCCCTATGTTTAGAAATGGTCTGCCAAGGATCAAGGTGCAATCACGATCCTCCTCAAAATCGAGCACAACAAAGTCCACATGGAATATAAACTTGTCCACTTTCACAAGTACATCCTCAACCACGCCATGAAGTTTCTTGATGGAATGATCCGCCAGCTGCAAAGTCATCAAGGTAGGTTTCACTTCCCCCAGGCCAAGTTTCCTGAAAATAGACAAGGACATCAAATTAATGCTAGCACCTAAATCACACAAACACTTAGTAAACTCAATGCTACCAACAACACATGGAATTGTAAAACTCCCTGGGTCTTTCAATTTGGCAGGCATCTTGCTGGTGATGATTGAACTGCACTTTTCAGTCAATGGGACAGTTTGGTCATCCTCCCATCTCTTCTTATTATTGATGATCTCCTTAAAAAATTTAGCATATTGAGGCATTTGAACAAGAGCCTCAACAAAAGGAATATTGATTTGCAGCTTCTTAAAAATATCCAAAAAATTTGGAAAATTGCTATTTAGTCTGCTGCTTCTTCAGTCTTTGAGGAAAAGGGATTCATGTGACATAGGGTGGAGGTTGGGCATTAGAGTGATTCTCCTTGTCACCTTGGTTCCCCTCTAACTTATCACCAGTTTCTTCATCATAGATTTTAGCATTGGTTAATGAAGGACTCTCAACATCTGTACCTGTCCTCTTACTTTGCACATCCTGCTTTGGCTCCAGCACTTTCCCACTCCTTAGTGAAATTGCTTTGAGCTGCTCCCTTGGATAAGTCTCAGTGTTGCTTGGTAAATTGCCTTGGTTCCTAGCCGAAACAACATTGGCTAGTTGGCCTATCTGCACCTCCAAGTTGTGAATTGAGGACGAATAGTTCTTTGCAATTTGATCAAATTTAGCTTCCATCCTTCTCTAGGCCTCATCCTGGCTGCTCATCTTACAACTCATCATTTCCATGAACTTATCCAGCTTGGCTTCAAAAGAAGCTGATCTATCCTGCTGAGGGTGTGGCTGGAATCCCGGTGGCCCTTGATGTCTAGGCATGTTGTTGTTTTAGAGACTGGAGCTACCAGCATTGTTGTTATTGTTACTCCATGAAAATTTGGGGTGATTTCTCCACCCTGGATTATATGTGTTGGAGTACGGGTTGCAGATCTGCCTTCCTTGGAATTGATTCCCCACAAAATTGCATTGCTCCATAAAATTTCCACCTGCAAAATTAAAATTTCCAACGCAACAATCAAAACTAACATGACCAATACCATTACAATACTCACAGGTTGGTTGCATAGAATTGTTGATGGCGTTGGCTTGCACGTTCATGGTGCCTAATTGCTTGATTAAGGTTGAAATCTGAACCTGCAAGGATGCTATGGAGTCCGCTTCTAATTTGTCTCCCTATCTAGGTGGATTTAGCCACTCGGCTGGCAACAACCAATTGTTAGCTGCCATTTCCTCTAAGAGATCAAAAGCAGCATCTATAGTTTTCCTCATCAAGGAACCTACTGCAACAGCATCTATAGTATCTCTAGTAGTGCGAGTGGCTCCATTGTAGAAAGTCTGAATCAGAAGTCCCTTAGGTAAGCTATGGTGAGGGCAGCTTCTCTGCAAATCCTTAAATCTTTCCCAGGCCTCATACAATGATTCATTCTCAAATTGCTGAAAGGTAATGATGTCTTTAATGTTCTTTGTGGTTTTAGCTGGGGGAAAAAACTTAGCCAAGAAAGCCTGTGCCAGCTATGCCCATGTGGTTATGGAATTCGGTGGTAGAGAGTTTAGCCACGCTTTAGCTTTACCGTTCAAGGTGAAAGGGAAAAGCCTAAGCCTAATAGCATCATCTGACACTCCATTGTATTTGAAGGTATCACAGATTTCCAAGAAAATTGCAATGTTAGCATTAAGATCTTCATTGCCCATGCCTGAAAATTGCACACTTGATTGGATCATTTGGAGTAGAGCTGGCTTAATTTCAAAGTTATTAGCATTGATGTTCAGCCTTGCAATACTCTGTTGTGCACCATGCAGCCCAGGCATAGCAAAATCTCTAAGAGTTCTCTCATTATCATGTCGATTTGCTTGGTTGCCTCCATTATCCACTACCATCTCTGGAACCCTTACTTGCTAAGCTTTCTTGCTTTCTCTAACAAACTTTCTCAATTTTAGGTCTGAAAGGGAGAAGCTCGGGTTGTGAATTTCGAGTTCTTCGCATACGCTGAAACAATACCTAAAGAAAGAATGCAAACAAGCAAACAAACAAACAAACAAACAAAAGTTAGCAAAAACTAATAAAGAACTGCGCTTTAAATCAAGAGAGACTAAATTAATTAAGGTGTTAAACAAAATTCATTCCCCGGCAACGACGCCAAAATCTTGTCAACTATCCGCAAGAGTACGGAGTCGTGCAAGTAATATAGTAAGGAGTACAGAATCATTCCCACGAGGAATGAATTATTTAGCCACCTATTAATTTTTCTCAACTTGTTTAAAGCAATAATTGATTTGGTTTGCGATTTAGGAATTCAAACTAGTGATACTGATTAAGAAAATTAAATGACAAAAACAAGTACCTAGAACAAAGTCAATAACAAAGTTGCTAGGGAATAATCCTATCACAATCATTAAGATTCAACATCAATAAAATCTCATGAGGGCTGTTATATTCCAAGGTGTTTCCTAAAAGCACTAATCGATCTTTCTCAAGACTCGATTAGCTAAATCTATGTTCAATTAAAGGGAACTACAATCAATGAATTCTCATTCTTTCAATCGAAATCCTCTTTGCATAAACACAAGCTATCAATACACCTCTACGGGAATTCTACCAATAATTGATATCTCTACCTAATTATTGGCCGAATAAGTGTTATTAGTTCCACCTCTATTATCATCTCTYGATGAATAATCTTGATCAAAGAACGATTCATTGGAGATCAGCCAATGACACGTAATCAATACAAATAACACAATATAACAAGAACCTCATCGGTTTTATTAATGAATGAAATTCAATGCATGATCAAGCATTAGTCCCTAACAATAAAAACCTAGCCCCTCATGATATAATTAAGAACAAGCAAACTACCCTAATTACTTTCGGATCAAACCACTCTTAATGATAAGAAGAGTCACTGCATACAAGAATTGA